AGGTGCACGCTGCCGAAGCAGTGTCGTCCCCCCGCCCTCTCCCCGACGGCGATGGCGGTGTGACCGATCGAGCTACAAGAGGAACTTGTTCAGCAGGATCCGGGTTAGCCCGCGCACTACCTCACTGGGCCTGAGACCGCTGAGACGCTTCCCGTCACCGTCTCGGGTTTGTGTGGGATCGAACCACTCCGGGATGGGCAAGCCCATCGTTCTGATCTATCTGTCTATCTAGCCAACTCCAGGTTTTCACCGATTTGCTGTGGGCGTTGGCTGAAAATAGTGCTCAAACCGACCAAGTCAAGCGAAAATCGGCCCAACGAAAACAGCACTATTTAAGGTGCACCTTAAGGGCAAAAACCGATTTGCTACGGGCGTGCCGACAGCGACCAGCATGCCGCAGAGCACGGCCATGCCCATCGGCGAGTTGGCGGTGCCAAGCGGCTTGTCGGTCGATCGGGCGCCTCTCTCCCAGCCTCTGCCCCTCTCCGTTCCGCCCGTGGCGGTGGAAGTCGACCAGAGCGGGCTGCCCGAGCCCATGGCACTTGGGTGCGGCGGCGGCGGCGGAGGAGGAGGGCGAGTCCATCCTTGTCCCGTGCCTCGCCGCGGCCCCTCTCCTCCTCCGGCAGGGGTCGGAGCTCGCCGCAGCGGGCGCAGGCACGCAGCCTCGGCGGCGGCGGATGCGGCGGCGCGCCGTGGCGACGGCGGGTGCGAGCAACCCCGTGCTGCAAAGCGCTCGCTCGCGCCGGCCGACGCGCCACCACCCAAGCGGCGCCGCGCCGCCACAGCTGGGCCCTCGGTCGCCTCCATCGCCGCGATCGGGACGAAGGTGGACGCACGGTACATCAACGACGACGGCACAGTGTCCTGGTACGGTGCCGTGATTACAGCGGTTCACGGCGACGGCTTCACGCTGGATTGGGATGACGGCGACACTGCGCAGCGGCGGCAGCCCAAGATGCACGTCCGGCTCTCGGCGCGGCCCTCCAGCGGCGCTCCTCCCTCCTCCTCCACCGCCGCCGCCGATACCATCGCCACCGCCGCCGCCGCCACCGCCACCGCCCCCCCTGCCGCTCCCAACCCGTCCCCGCCCACGAGCCGTTTGTTCACGCCGGACGGCCAGGCGCCCACGGGTGGCATGCCGGCCGTCGCCGCGGCGCTGGCGAGGATCGGGCTGCAGGCCTACGTGGCCGCCTTCGACACAGAGGGCTATGACGACCTCGAGTTCCTGCGCGGGATGGACGCTGTCGAGCGGGCAGACGTGGCCAAGGCGATAGGCATGAGGCCGGGGCATGCGGGCAAGTTTGTCAAGCACGGCTTCGAGCGGCCTTGA